ACTGCTTGCGCGCGAGGTCCTAAGCTCTAAGTGACCTCGTCTGTTGCGTCAAAACTTAGGAGGGCGTCAGACAGACATGACCAATACAACTCGTTCTCGTGGAATGTGTCTCGATTTCCTTGAAGGCCTCCTCAGTGCTGTGCGCCAAGCACATTTTTCTAGTACTTTGGGCCAAGCAGTAAACTAGGTTTTGCTTCTTTTGCATGGATACGAAACTGATAATGCTTGTATAGAGTACAGACCAGACTTTCTTTCGAAATACGATCGTTCGGACCCTCATGTCAGGCCCTCGACTTAGGAGGACGTTTAAGAAAAGAAGCGAACCAACCGTTTCCACCTCCAAAGTGAACCTAGTGAACGAATGCGCTTGGCCGACAGCCTTAAAGTGTGCATATATATCTGTTTCGGTTGCAGCGATGACAAAGATGACATCAGCGTCGTGACCATAGTGTTGAAACTTATTGATCTGATCACTTAGTTAGAATTTTTCCAGAGTTCCCAACGGCCACCTAGCTACCGGCATTTTTTCCGAGCCTCTTCTCTCCCTTTCTTCCCTCTCTCCAATTGCCGCTTAATTAGCCGCTTGTTACTACCCCAACCCCTCCCCTATCCCCTGGACTAATTTGCTTATAACGTTGAACATAATTTACCCACAATTTTATCTTTTCCATGTTACTCCCCTCCCATATAAACGTAACGGTCTGATGAGAATTTGTTGAAAGTATATGTATGCTCGCCAATTGCTCTTCGGATTCCCATGAATACTTCAGCTAGGGGAAGTCCAAGAGGCGAGCCCATATGTCCGTATAATTGGTTTCAAAAAGATACTTCACATTTAATGCGCATCTTAGTAATAGTTCCAGTAGTGCATTTCTGCTATTTCTATTTCAACTTGCTTTGTCCATATTAATTCACAAATGTTTGTAAATAGTGATGAGACGTCTAGAGATAGCATCATCATGCAGTTTAACTTCGCGTCCTTGAAGTCGTCGATAATTGCGAACGTATTTCAACATCTAAATGTTGCCAGCTGATGCTGTAAAGGTTTGAGTTTCTCTGCTAACCATTCCGCTATCGCGTGATATGGTCAGTTGCGCATTCCCGCAATTGCACGAACTGACAGAACATACTTGTGGATTGTTGGTAGGCAATATAAACCATCTAGTTACTTGCCAGCCACTGTGGTGCAGGTTAAATTGGTCGCACGACTCGGCGCCCATCCAAACGGATGAGCGAACACCTCTCGGCATGGTAGGAGAAAGGTGATGACGGGAGCACAATCAACGCTATGCTTGCACACATTTCTGCTTCCAGACATCGACTTCTTCTGAGTGATTTACAAGATGCCACCAAGCTATCACAAGCGACTAGCTCAGCTTCTGCTTACATCAACTACCAGGGTGGCGAAGCTGATTTTGTGGGCACAGTAGAGTCTCCTGCAAGCTCCGCGCTTGGCATGGCCAACGGTCACTTAAA